AGCGCTCTACCACTTGAGCCACAGAGCCACTTCCGGTTTTCTGGTGGTTTATTGGAGATAGGAGCCTCACGGTCTCTCTTGCCTGGGCTGGCTTTGAACCGCGATCCTCAGATCTCAGCCTCCTGAGTAGCTAGGATTACAGGCGTGAGCCACCAGCACCCGGCCCAGGTCAAGTCTTTAAGTGACCTGGGAACCTGTGCTTGCCCTATTGCCCAGCATTGTGAAATGATGGCTTTACTCCCATCTCCTAGTGAGAGGGCTGGAGGAGAGAGGGCTGAGTCAGTGCTTAAAGAGAGATCTGGCAGGGAGGTATGTGAAACTATTGTTTTTTTCTCTCTCTTTGGCAGAAAACAGGAGAGAACATAGTCATGTGTAGGCTCCTGAGTCACCACTGGGCTGATTTCCGTTTCCCTGCACATCTCTTGGTGTTTCTGGATGCTGGCATATTGGGGGTAAGCCCCAAGTGTGGCTGACTGGATGAACAGGTAATGAATGATTAAGAGATGACTGGATATGTGGGTAGATAGAGGATGGTTAGCTGGAGAGTGGAGGCTCCAGGCTGGCCTGCTTGAATCCCCTCATCTTTCCCACCTTTCAACTTGCTAGGTGGAAAGAGAGGAGTGGGTACCCCCACACGTCCTTTATCAGAATCCCACCTTCTCTCAACACGACATAGCTGAGGCTATTATTTGATGCAAAAAAGCCAAGTCTTCATAGTGGTAACTTAAAAAGGTCTTTCATATGCAAAAACCCTGAAAGGTCAACCAACAAACATCTCCAACCCAGTCCTCAATCCTGAGTGTCAGTGTAGTCCATGTAAACCATGACTAGCCCTTGGAGGAGCCATCATCAGCTAAAAGAGAAGTCTGGTGTTCAAGGACTAGGAAAACTAGTTTCCTGAGATCTTTGCATCTGCCTGGGAGTTTATTTACAAGTCAGAACACAGAAATCACTCCTAGGAAACGGCATTAGGCCACTGATTCACTCCTGGAAATGGAGCCCAAGAGCTGATCAGTGCTGATCAGAGCTGAGTGGACCAGAGGTACCAACCAGGGGCTCTATGGCTGCCCATCTCTAGGGCTTTAGCTACTAGTGATTATGTTGTGACTACTGCCTAGAGAGCAGGTGCAGGCAGGCAGACCTTATGCTCTTTCACTGGATCTATTCCACTAATTGTTATGTGTGTGTGTGGGGGGGGGTGGCTAGGAAACTGAACCCAGGGCTTCTACCATTCTTCCCCCTCCCTTTTTTTAATCAGTCATGGGACTTGAACTCTGGGCCTAGGCACTGTCCCTAAGCTCTTCAGCTCAAGACAAGTACTCTACCACTTGAGCCATGGCGCCACTTCTGCTTCTACCATTCTTAACCACTGAGCCACAGCCTCAGCCCTTTAACCATCTCCACTCCAATGTTTCCTTTTTCCTCTGGACACCCACATGATTCAGACACTCTCTCCTCCCCCACTCCCTCTTTAGGAAATTAGTTTACATTAATTATTTAGGGAAGTGGTGTTCATTGTCACACTTCCACATCTGTTTATAACACAGTCCAATCAATCCCACCGCCTCTACTACCCTCCCTTCCCTGCACGACTCCTTCCCCCAACAATTTCAACAGGTTTCATTGTTCTATTTTCATAGTTGTAAACAATCAACTTTGACCAAATTCATCTTCCTTGTTAGCCCATTCCCCTCCAACTAATGCCACCCCAACAGAACCTGTTTCCCTTGCCCCTCCTCCCTCCATAGTGATTCAAATAGCTTTTGTTGAGATTCTTTACGCTATTTTCATACAGACTTGCAACGTATTTCGAAAATATGTACTCACTTTTCAGGCTGTCTTATCTTTAAGAACAGCTTAAAATATTCTCACCTTGAACTGCTTCAGATTTCCTTTCACTATCAAAATTCTCAAACCAAACTCCAGGTTTGTGCCTTTCCATATAACCCTCATTCCTTCCTAGCCTCACAACAGGAAGGTAAACCTAGGAACTTCTATTCTCCACTGCCTGGCTCTACTTTCTCTCCTCTGCTTACAGAAGAAAAGCGGGACAGCACCGCACATGGGTCACACATCTCTACTTTGCCTTGCGCATTGACTCATCCTAAGCAGTAAAAAATTGCATGTGTTTATGGGTCCCTCTGGGTCCTCCTCCCTCCACCCCAAGCCTCTTGTCCACACA